ATGGGAAAAATAACTTACATATATCCAAGCCTTGGCTTTGCTGCCTGAAGGTGAGGGCGCGAGACACGTTTTCACAGAATAATCTCGCCTCCATAACCAGATCTTTCCTATTCCATAAATTCAATTTATTTACCGGGTCGTGTTGTAGTGGATTGAAGTTTTTCGATGGAATAATCGGAAGCACCGGCAAGTAAGATTTAAGTTTAGTACTTATAATAATCATTTTGTTGTAAAATATTTATACGTTTGTGAGGGCAGAAATCATAAAAATGGGAGAAACATAAGCGGATTTGTTTTTAGTAAGCAGACTCCAAAGGTATTGCATCAGTTTGAAATATTGTATATATATATATATATATATATATATATATATATATATGTGTGTGTGTGAAATATATGTGACAAAGCATCATTTCCAATTTCATATGAGTGTGACGTCAGCAACGCTGTCGTCACTGCTTGTAGTTTCAACAGTTTATTTATCGATTTTCCATTTTACTCATAAAAACTCACAAAAACTTGCACTTCTTTCTTACGGTCTTTCTTTGTACTTGTAATTAGATAAGCTCCTCCTAGATAGCTCTCACTACTGTCTCTTTCATTAACGTTTCCGAATATAAATGTTTTTGTGAAGTAATTACATTTATTTTTAAATAAAGTTACGACGAATAATCTTACTCATTCAAACAAACACAAAAATCTAAAAGATGTCCAATATACCGCACTACATATAATAGTTGCACAATATTTTATTTTACATACATAATAAAAAAATAGTCGGTAAAATCATTTTTTCATTTAATATTATATTTTTTGTTACAAATCTATAAAAGATAAGAGTATAGAAATATAGTACTGTATATTCCTCAATTTAGGTTCTTACAAAGCTTAGGAGATTTTGTAATTAAATTTCTTTTTATATAATATAACTACTATAATTAAAACGAAGTAACTCTTAAAGAAGCTCAATAAAATGTTCACGTTTCGAAAATGTTTCTTACAATTCCTCACTGACATCCTGAAGTTTATTCATTTTGCTTTTACACTTTTGGCAGTCTGTTTATGTCACGGGACCTAGAACTAAGAAGCATCTAGTTTATTACTGTTTAACTATGACTGTACTTATTACTTGAGAATGTTAGCTAAGTTATTTGTGTTTGAAAGAACTTATATAATGATATGATATAATATTTATGATATGTCATTTATTCAATCAAATACAATTTTAGATAAAAATGTTTTATGTAAGTCTTTCTGACTCACATTTGTGTACGAGTATTTATGTTTTTTGATGCTAGTATTTTTAATTAAAATAATTAATATCTTGCCTTTACAAATTCATAGGAGATATATAAAAAGCAAACTCTATATTATTATGGCTAAAAAATATAAATATACTTGGCCATATCAAAATTTAAGCAAAATATTCTCATATGAGGTATTTACGTATGGCTAATAAGTAAGGTATGTTTTCAAAGAACTTTTCAAAACAAACAAAAGTTAATACTATAGTAAAAAATAATATAATGATGACGATTTCCTTGCTATTTAAGATTTCAGGGCTATTATGAAGGCCTTCTATTTCTATGTTATAAAGAAAACCCTTTTTATTTGCTTTTAGTTTCAAAGAACTAATTAATTCAATTTTTTGTTATGCAGCTGATAAATAAATTTATTTTAAGTAGGAAATTTTATTTAAAGCGTTTTATGCTACTAAAGCGCATTTTTTTGCCTGTAATAAAATTCTATCATATGTATATTAATTTTATGTATGCAATTGTTTTGTTTCATAGAAATTAAATAAAAAATCTAATAACAAACTAACAAGACATCGTTTATTGTCTTTTTATATATTAAAGTTTTTTTTTTTTTATATTAAAAAAAACTATCAGAATATTTGCAGCTAATTCCGATGTTCCATTTATTAATCGTTTAAAGAAAAAAAATAGCGTCTGACTGAAATATCTTAAGATATATTATAATTGAGAGAATTTCCCACGACAGAGGTTGGCTATTATTCATATTTCAGAGCGATTCCAGAAAATAAAAGTGCTATGCATAAAATGGATAGTCGAGAAAAAGAATTGAAACAACGCGTGGTTAAAATTTTTATATTCCGTCTATTATAGATTTCGAAAACAAAGAATTTTATGGAGAATCAATTTGAATTGATAAAATTTTAACAATTATATTGTTATTAGATGTTTAAAGATAGTCTTGCAAATGATCATGATTGTGAATATTATGTAATGTTATTGTTTATAATATATAGAAATCTGTACATTAATTTATTTATTATGCATACCGCTACTATATGCTCTAAGATTTTTTCTTGAATGTGAGAATGCAAAAGATTACTTTTATGTATTCGTCTTTGTCTGCTTCAATAATATCTGGTTATACATAAATTTTACATTATAATTAAACAAATCGTAAAACTTATATAAAATAAAGTATTTATAGTTCTAATTACTCAGAGCTAGCGTTCATTTCGATACAAAATACAGCCACAGTTCTGTGTAAATACAATCTAGACTTAAATTTATTTTTCCAAGCTGCAAGTGAATTGGGTGTAGCCGTAAAGTGTACGGAAAATACAATTCGTTCATGTTGGTAAATGGTTTTTCGTTCTTACAAAGTCAGTATTAGAGAGATTTTACAATTAAATAAAGTAAGAAAATTCAAAATTAACTTTAAAATATGTACTAAAAGAAATTAATGTAACTCAATCTTTTAACTAGATATGAAATAATTTAAACCAAAATACTATTAAGTCAATATGTTTATTTAAAAAATACGACGGCAATTAGTAAATAATTAATATGGAATGTTTTAACAAAAAAATATATCACTTTTCTCCAAAAAAGTTACATTTTAAATTAAGATTTCGGGATAAAACGAATTGGAACTCTGAAAGTAAATTAAGTTTACGTCACTGCTTCATGAAAACGGGTAGGGATATCGAATTGGAGAAAAAAGTGTCTACAGCTGTTGTCGAAAGTACAGATAGAGTCGTATATAACAATTTGGACCTTTTAAGGTCTATTACTATGAATATTCTACTTGACATTGCTACACTCGTAAATCTTCCAACTACCGAACTTTTGAGCCAAATTGTTAAGGAAAATTTGTAACATTTCTAATACGATTTTCCTTAAAATTTATCTCAATTAACTTTATTTAAGTTAACTATACTTAAAAGGTACATTTCAGAGGTAGCAAGTAAAAATAACTATAAATATAAATGTTTAAAGATCGCGTAGTTACTAAATATTATTCGATAAGTTTCTCTCAAACTAATTCTCAATTATCATAGATTGTATTTAGTAAAACGTTACCCTTTGACAACCAACTTTAGTATTATCAGTTTCTTATGCCGCATCCATATTAAATAAATTATATGTAATTTCTAATCATATCGAGTGTTAAAGTCTCGTAAAATTCTCTTACTGTTTCGTAAATTTAAATACAACAAGTGTTAAAAAAAATGGCAATAATAGACAATAATTTCAATCCGAAGTACTCAATCACTGAGTATTAATTACTAAACTTATATATTTCGAGCGTAATATAATTGACAATCTAAGCAAATAAAGATAAATTTTTCAGACCAATGTATAGCGTATATATCATTAGTAAGTAATTATGTATGAGATCAAAAATAGAAATGATAATTGCAGTCTAATTCCCACGTAACTTACCCGTACTCGTAACATGTTAGAACTAGTTCATAACATCAATTTCGCAAAGCTACGAAGTATCAAACTGTCAGGTTCAAATGAAATTATAATACCTAATTGGTACTTTGAAATTTGAATGTAAAAAATTGTATAAATACTAGCTTTTGCACGCGACTCTGTCCGCGTTAGTTTCATAATTAGAAATTTATAGCTGACCAGGCGAACTGTTTTGCTTAAGAGGCGGTATAGAAACAGATTTCGGATTTTATTAGCACTTTTTTGGTCGAACGAATTCAAAAGTATCCTGTCTGTCTCCTGATTCCAACCTACCTGTCCACAAATTTCCAGGAAAATCCGACCAAACATTTTTGAATTATAAATAGTGTAACTAGAACGACTTTCTTTTATATATAGTTAGTAATAGTTACATGTTTCCAATCAAATAAAATTATATGAGAAATGTTCTATGATGATTAATTTTCTATTACATAAACTTCTTCTTCTTCTTAGCGTTAATCCCGTCTTGTGACGGGGTCCGCTATTACATAAACAATTACTAATTATATATATATATATATATATATATATATATATGCATCTGAGTATAATTAAATAATAGTGCGATTAAAATAACGACTTATATACTTAAACAATGTAACATACACAAGCACACGCACAAGCACACACACACGCACATATATTGTATATTGAAATATTGTTTAAAATAAAATAACAATGTTTATATTATTGTTTTGCCGGTTTTTTAATATAAATGTTTTATATTACAAAGAATAGAAACTCATTTTATTGATAAATTTACATAATTTCCGTGAAGTATGCCCACGTTTCTGTAATAAACCTGCGTCCTTGAGACTTGTTTGCAATAATGTCACCGTCTGAAGCGTCGCAGAAACAAATCGTTTGAAAAACAATTTGTAAATTTGTGTACTTTTAAATTGATTATATTTATATACACGTTCTGCTATTGTTTTTATTTTTCAATTTAACTATACTAGTTTATCTTTTAGAATGTCTGAAGAATAATTCTTTCCGGGCAAACTAGCATAAGTACGTTTACAGCTTAGGACTTTAAATTCCGCGCAATTTCTTACTCGTCACACATTGATAAGACAAAAATAAAGTGTCACCCATTACAAGTACGAGTATATAAGAAGTTTTTACTAAAACATTGCTCATATTCAGTTAAACCTACTAACAGACATGTTTGTACCAGTTATATTTTTAATAGTGTTTACAACAATTCCATTCAGTCTGTGTCTAGACGATTATGACGATGGATTTTCTTTTATGGAAAACAGAATGGATCGATTTTGGGACAACTTTAACAAGAAAATGGACGCCTTCAGAAAGAGAATGGAAAATATGGGGAAGCGAATGGAAACTATGGGGACGCGAATGGAACAGCAAGTATGTAAAGAAGTATACGGTAATGAATATGATGTAGTGATTAAAATGCCAGGGTTTAATAAGAAAGATATATCTGTCGATGTAAAAGATGGACAGCTCACAATCAAAGCTATTCACAATGAGCCTGGTGAAGCTTTAAATAGTTACTTGTACGTCAGTGATTTACCGGATAATATAAACGATAAAGGTAGCTGGTCATACAACGGTGGTGTATTCAAAATGATTTTCCATCTAAAACAAAATGGATATAATCCTATGGGATCGAATAACTTGAGTAAAAGAAACAGAAGGTGTGATGTTATTGCTGATGATGTCGTAACATATGGCCCCTGATAAAATTAATTATTATGTATTATATCGTCTTTTAAGTTAAATAGTTAGCCTCTAAAATAATATTAAAACCATAGAACTTCATTCCAAACATAAGTGTATCGAATTAGTTTTCAATCAATTCATGTTATTTTATTTATGAAATAAAAATGTCATTTTATTACATCTGATATGTTTTATTGGAGGTGTCGTAATAAATATTCTTTTAATGTGTTAAATATGTAAAATTTAAAATCATAAATACGAAACTGTTCTCTACTAAGGTAGTAATTTTTTATGATCTTAAAATCACTATTTATAAAATTAGTGAATTCAAAAGATACATATTATAGTTTCATAAAAATAAAAATTCTTATATGTATAATAATCTAGTACCATGCTCTATACATCACATTCAATCTAGACAAAAATTTTACTTTGAAATCAAAAAAATTTTTCTAATGTATAAATCGCATTTAATATTTTTTAATCATGTTAAATTACATTAAATTTAAATTTATTGACTAATTCAATATATTTAAGTGTTCAACATTTAAATAATAAATTACATTAATTTAAACCCGTTGATAAAACCAAATGTATATGTAAAAGTCAACCCGTATCAACAGTGCACTAATCACACGACCAAGTTCAATGCCAGCTGTATTAATCAGTATGTTTACGAATTGGAAAAATCCCACTGAGTTTTTCTTGTTTCTATGTCAAAGTAAAGTAAACTTTGTTTCCTCTTCTTTTAAATTCGTTTAAAAAATATTTATATATTATTAAATTGTTTAATAGTTTTTGTGAATAAAAAAATATTTTTTTAGTTACTTCTTCATTGTACCCTTTTCAGTTATTTGCAGCTTTATAAATTTGCTTGCACTATTCCGAATATTCCGGGGTTGGAGAAAAAATTACTCAAAAAGTGCTTTCCGATTAAACACTTTGTTCGTTATAAATAATGTAATTTGTAATAAACTACTTCTATACTAAATAGATAGGTCATCTTGTATAGACAGATATTTTTTTACAAAGTCTTTTTATTATATTGTCTTTTAATTATATAGGGTGGCAACCGGAGGTTTCAGGAAAACTACGAAACATACTTATATGTATATTAAAATAAGCATTACATATTAAAACTTATAATCAATACCTAAAACTATATGATTGCCCTGATGTCAGGATGATAATAACATTCTATTGCTTGTATGGTGTAAGGAATCTTCTTGGTCACACGGCTTGGTGTTCGTTCCGCGGAGTCAGCGGCGTCACTCGTATATGATATTTTACCGATACAAAGATGTCGTCCCGGCGATGTTCATTTTTTTCTTCCTACCAATGTACGTAACAAACTTATTACAATTATTCTTATTATAACATCCACTCGTGTAATACATTGCTGACATTGAATTAATTTAGCTCAAGAACTGTTTATAAATGAATATAGGAATTCTTTTTACATGGGTTTTGGTTAAAGCGGTAGGATGGATGGAATGATATCCATTATGATTGAACATTTCTTTTTGCAATATAGCACAATATATATCCTTTTAAAGGAATTTTTTTGCTAAACAAGTACATATGCTCTCTTAAATAAAATGGATTAATCCAAGTGATTTTTATAATAAAGGATATATTTTGATCTGAAATTAAAGAATGTCAATAAACATTTATTGGTACAATATTTTCTCATAATATTTACTGTTCTTTATGCTGTCAAGCTATAGCGTTTATAAAATTAATAAATTTCTACTACATTATTATTTAATAATTAGTTTATATTAGTTTATAAATGTATATAAATAATAATCAAGTTGGGATAAAATTTTGCTTTAATTTTTTATCATTCAAAGTTTTGTAATAGGGAGATGGTATTAGTAACAAGTGTCGCTATCCATGATGAACTAGATTCCCTTAGAATAATCTAGATGTCGATTACAATAATAATAATTAACATCATTGTGGATATTGTTAGAAGAATTAATAATTAGAGACTGATACTAATTTCGAGAAATTATTTAAATACAAATAACTATTGATTGTAATATTATATATATATATATATATATATATATATATATATATATATATATATTTTACAAGATAAAAGATCACACAAAGCAATATTTAAGCAATATAGCAGAATAAGATAAAATATTTCTCTTGCATATTGTTCTTTGAATAAAATTTGATCATAGTAACAATAACTCCATTGACTCAGTCCCCGGGGGTCGAACACTACTTACTATTGTCTTATTGAATTTTGCACTCGCCAAATTTTATCTTTATATATCTTTAGGAAAGTAATTCAAGAATTGAGTATAAATTTTAATTCTTCTGAGTTTTCATAATGAATTACCATGCGAAGAGATTCAAAGCGCTTTTTTTCTGTTCAATGTAAAGATGTCCAAAACCTTGATTCTTGGACACGTTTTATATAATGAATAAGCTATAAGCTATTATCTTTTCTTTTTTAAAATAATCCTTGCTTTTTAATATATTTTTTTAAAAAACTACACTTTATATTTATGGAGAAGAAATGCTGATTATATTGTGTAGCGAAGTAAAAGGGGAAACTCACTGGTCTGAAATCATGACGTGAGGTATGCCCTTTGATCCCATTATTCCTACTAGCACTTTAATGGCATATCTCTCACAGGACACATTGCTTGAGTTCTTGACTTTATCCAATTATATTAGGACCAACAATTATAGTAAAATATAGTCCTTACCATACTCACAAACAACATGTTTTGTTTTTGAAAAGAAAGAAGTAGATGGCATTGCACATGAAATATATTAAGTTATTTTAGTTTCTTCGTTAAATTCAAAACTAATCATTTAATTGTGGCAGAAGACACGAACAGTTGCGTTTTAAAAGGGATAATAAAATGATGTTACTTCTTCAAGTTGGTTTGATATCGGTACTGGTACGATATAGTAAAATTAAACAAGACCCGTATCATTTAAGTTAAAGTAAGATTTTATTCGTCTAATATATTTTAATATATAAAGTGTTATGTTAATCGATTCAATGTAACAATGTCTTTATCACCGTCGATATACTGTGGCTGTAATTTCCGCACGTTTGGCTCTTCACTCTCCAGACAACTTCCTCATACGTACACCTCTATACAGTACGTTTCAATCCCACCTACCGTTGATAACACTCACATGCTTGATAAGAGAAAAATTAACTTGATTTTCATATACCTATATCAAATCGTTTGTAAAAGAAACAAAGTTTTAGTTTTGCAGTTATGTATATTGTATTTTGGCTTTAAACCTAAAGTTTAGATTTCTTACCACAAAACCTTTAAACGTGAAGGTGTAAAGAAATTTTTCCGTCTTCTTTTATTCAACTAAAAATATAAATTTCATCTATATACTTATAGAGAGTAAAATCCTCCGGACACTATCAAATGGACCTTGGCAGTATAAAAAGTTATATAAATAAAGTGAAAAAATTAGGACGACACGTATTTTGATTTAAAGTTACTGATATTGTAATTAGTTTAGTATTTGGAGTCAGATAAAGTATTATTGCTACAGTCTCTATACTTTTAATATTAAAGTAAAGCGTACCAAACAAATTTAACATTCATACAGGCCTATGTACATTGAAAACTAGGCAACAACTAAAAGTAAATATAGCAAAGTTTCTTTATGTCCCCAACACTAAATAATTATTCATTGTTTTATGAAATCTTCTGTTAGTCATCAGTGTATTACGATCCATTTTTAGATTTAGATATGTATGTAAATGTGTTATTACATATTTAAAAAATTAATATTAAATTTATTATTTTGGCAAAGTACGTCCTCAGATATACCACTGACCTTGCATTTACATATGTGAAAAAAAAAACTATTACAAGAAAATGTCTGTATATAAAAATATTAACAAAAGAAAATTATTTGTTATTTTTATATAAACGGCAATCGGGAAGAGCTTGCTATTAAATTGAACTTGTGTCAGAGTGTGTTTTGTGTGTAAACCTATTCTTAGTTAAATATAGTCTGAACTGTTAATAGATCGTGATTGTGGATTTGAATATCATGATGTTAAGTTGTGAACAATGAACATCGGTTAAATGAAGATGAAAGCGTTTTACAATAATATTATAGACACTATGAAAAGTTACTAAAACAGAAATACTAATAGTTTGACTAAGAAAAGACGCGCGATATTCTTTGTCAATTTCATTCACGGTTTTGTATTTTAAATTATCATGACATGATACCGAGTTCATCGATTACCAAAACGGTTTTTGAAAATTGTTTCCCACATCTTTTATATATGAATACGTCTTTGAAATAATAAGAATAATGAAAAACTGAAATAAGTACATATTATTTTAACAAAAAGCAACGTCACTAGTTTTTCTTAATATTATGTTGATTGTTATATATTCAAGGTTTGCTAAAATTTTTATTTTGATGAGAGATTAGTCAAAACTCAAAACAAATACTATCGTAGATTAAATGACTCCAAAGCTTTAGGTAAGTAGCATGTATGTATTCAAATAGTTTCTACAATTCTTAATAGTTTATATAAAAATAAAAACATTGATATTAATTTTTATATTTGTTTAAATAGCTTGATTTTCTTTTCAAACTGTAAATATCGCTCTTGGTAAACATACATAAACTTTATTATAATGTACGCACACGCCTTCCGCTGCATGTAAATTGTATATAATAAAACTATATATACAATAGACAAATATAAAGTTAAAATGCAATAAGTGAATTGAAATAAAGTGAACATATAAATATAGAGGCTGGCGGCAGAACTGTCCCACGAACGGAAATAACTTCGCTTTAAAAAATACAGCTGACTAATGGATAGGAATTTTCGGAAAACATCTTTATATAAATAGACAATTATTACAACTACTTACTATATTTATTTTTCATTTTTCAATACACATAAATAGGTAGGGCTTTAAAATATTAGTCATCCTTATATTATTATTTCATTTTAGTTAGTTTCAGTACATTTTATTGTTATTTAC